GTATTGTTGCCTTATGTGGTGAACGATACTGGTTTATCAGATCAAGAAGTTAATTTGATACGTATTTGCAATCAGCCAAACGAAGCAAACCTTCTGTGATTCGGTATGTGAGTCGACTGCCCTCAGAGATATCCTCGTCGAAGGCATGCACAGTTCCGATCGTTTGGCCTGGTTCGATGTTCTCAGACGCATTGAACTCATACAAAAGACGATCAAACTTCGGTGCGAACTCATTCACATCCTCAATCTTGATCTGAATAGTGGCATTCGCTTCGTCTTTGCCGCTATGTGCGAAAACCTGTCAAACGAGACGAATTCACTCATTAGAAACATCCACAAAAATGTCAATTTATGACAACTTTAAAATGAATTGCGCTATGCACATGGAAATCAATATCACCAGTAACAATTGCGCACAAAATGAACTACATTCCATCGTGAGACCGTAGAGATTGCAAAAGATTCATTAAAAAATATTACGAGTGAAGCTATATGACCATATCGGGGCAAAATTGATAACGTCTGATTGGGTAGGGGGATGTCTCATTGACAGACATATGCTAAATATTCAGCTTTCAGTAGCAGAGACCGGGAATATCGCATTGTTCATAAGAAACCTGTGCAGAAAAGCTGACGGAAAACAAAAAGAGTTATCTGAAGTAGGCAATTCTATCGAATTAAGTATTATTATCAGAGGTTCAAACATACGATCATTTGGATGATTCCTCTCGAATCGCGCGACAATTTTTCCGCATCAATCGGTTGGAGCGCCCTTATAACGCCATCGTCATCAATTGAGAAGAGATTTGCTGGTATTAACCCGTATTTGACATCGTCGTAAGCGGCACGGTTACCTACAGTAACGGTCGTATTCAAAATCGTTCCGGCTGGCGAGTTTTCACGAAGAAGCAAGCGATACAGCTTGATCGGAAACGAAAAACCTTGATCATCATTCGATACACTCAATGCCACCTGAAAAGCTGTCATCTTATACCATTCTCATGCACAGTTGCATAGCTCTTGAGAAATTCATCTCTCCTGCATTCGTGAGAATTACATTCGCCTTGAATGCGGACAAAAATTTGAGAAAAAAATTAAACGATCGGCCAAATTGATGACAAATTCGATGAAAAATGTTATGTGTATAGAATACGCAACGTACGCCAACGTCTGAGTAGTAGTGTGGATAATCAGCATTCCTTGCACGTACTACTGTGAATACAGTCGGCTTGTCACGATAAAGATCAACGAATTCTTTGGATGCGTATAAGTCACCCTGAAAATTTGGTTTCATTCGTGACTCTCGACGAGGAAATCGTCCACAACATTTAACAGGGCATTCGCAAAGGACCGTTGGTGAGATATTTGGCCCGATGGCGCAAGATCGAAATTGGCAGATACTGGTAGAAGTAAATGTACTCAGTGACACTGCAGAAGAATTGCATGACTTCAAAGTTTATCCAGGCAAATTCACCACTAAAAACGTCTTTCGTTGATTTGAACTGATTC